ATATCAAAGATTAACTAAAAAATAAAAGCACTAGATTTTTTTAAATTTTGATGTATCTCTACAGATACACTAACAAGAAAAGGGTTAACCTTCTTGCACTTTACCGTCCGACCGATTTGACGACATTCCTATTCAATTTCTAGGTTTGGTTGGGAGGGAAAAAATACGAAATTCAGAAGTCGATTTGTAACTTGACCTATTTTCGATTTGCTCAAACCGAAAAAAAAAACATTCGAAACTACACTTAATGTACGGAGAATTTAATAAATTTATACAGATTGCTTTTAGTTATACTGCTGTTAGAATTAAAAAGAATCATGCGATTTATTTTAAAGTCAGAATACGCTAATCTTACTAATAGTGTAAATGCGAAAGTTTATATGGCTGACTGGATGTTTATTACAGTTTGTAGTCTAAACGGTTGAATGGATCTCGACAAAATTTGGCATAGACGTACAGGATAATCTAGAAGAAAGCATAGACTACGCACTTTTGTTTTTTTGTAATTCCAAGTGGACGGAGTCGCGGGCAAAAGCTAGTAAATGTATGTTTTCTCTAACGTGCAGTATTTAGGGTTAGTCTTTCATTTGCTCGTTGATGATTAGTTAGATTCATATTCTCTATACTTCCATTTATTCTACATGCATTTTTTAATTATCTAGCCATTCATAGTCTATTAATTTCAATACTTTGTCGATGGAAACTGTGAATCATGAATTTTTCAATGAACACCGTTTGTTTAATGATGGGTTCTTACTGTGTAAAGTATCAAGACAAAACTATCTATGTTCTAAATAGAATCAGAGGTACGGTAACATTTTTTTGTAAATACAGATGTTTTAGTGGAAAACACTTTATAGTATTTTTTTAATATTAACCGAGTTTTGATGATTTACTAATATTTCTTGTACCATTCCAACTAATCTCCAGGTTTACGACAATAGTCAAATGACGGACTTCGAACCCTCGACCACGTGATCGGAAATCTGTACTCTTAACCAATAGGCTGTTGATGCTTCAAATCGATTGACGCGAATTTCAAAAGGATGTTTTTACGTGACATCAGATCGATGATTGTTTGTCTTAGTAAAATGGTATTGAGCGAAAACAAACAATATGTTTGTTTTAATCGGAACAGACCAAATATTGTATTAGTAAACACATTAATTTGTCTGTAGTTGAGAATAAATGACGGTAAACTAAGGCAAGAATTAGACAAAAGGAAATTTATAAAAAACTAACGCATAAAATCATTTAAATGTACAATTGAAGTGTTCTACAAGATGTCCGGGTAGAAAGGAAGACCACAGAATTCTTTTCATTTCGGCTAAGGAATCTGTGGTCTTCCATTTTACACGTCTTTCCCTGACAAACATTATAAAATTCACTAAAGAGAATGTTGTCAATTACTGCAAAAGCATTTAAACTTAAGAATCTGTACTGTTCAACCAGAGGCTTCTATACAAATGTACATCAAAGGGTGTCAGTTACTTACGAATGCTTATTGTTGGATGACTAACTCAGGCACCCTAGGTATAGCGATGAAAGGGAAGCCCATATTTAATTACCGCTTGTAGTGTACGCAACTTCGTTACATTTAGTCAACTTAAAAGGGTCTCTTGTAGCTTGTATAGTATATTTATGCTATTAAAAAGTTACTTTTAACTATTTCAATACATTATCTACATTTAACCTTAAAAAGTAAAAAACAAATTTTACTTTTAGGTAACTGGACATTGTTCTAAATCTGTCATTGGCTTAGGCAATTGTCATGTTCGAATTAAGGGCGCAAATAAGCGTACTAAATTTCATAAATAACATATAAATGTTTACGTTTAGTTAAGATTATTATTAATATTAGTTTAGCTCGCATAGATTAGTTTTATATCTCTTAGCTTAGCTTTGTTTTTAATTAGTTTAGTTGACGGTGAATAGGCTTAATACTTCGATCATTACGTAAGGCTTTATCTTTAGAGTAATTAAAATGATGAGTTACAAAGGATTTCAAAATTTGAATAGATTAAATAGTTGTACTAAATTTACATTTGGTACCAGTTGATTTGAAATTCCATTAATATAATTGTCGTTAAGCCATGTTTTCAAGGTTTAAGTAAGTCGAGGACTTATTTGCCTGCTTTGGCTGCTTGCCCGGACAAAACTAAATATAAAAGGGCCTTTTTCTTCAAGGTTTAATATAGGCCATTTATATAGTTTAAGATTGATATAGTTTGTATAACAATAAATCGAATTCAGGACTCGCAATTACGTGAAACACAATTTATTTTATATGAATTTTATGTCTATTACTATAGAAAATGTGTATTTTAGGTAACGCCTTTCCTTTCGCTCGTTTGTAGGCGTTATGAACAAAATGTTGACCTTAATGCGAGACGCAAAACTAACGAATAATCTTTGGAAACCATTACCCAAAGCTCTTTGAGGTGTACAATCAAATATGGATATAATGACCTTTGACCGAGTCCTGTTTCGGTGCTTTGGTCCTTGTTTAACAAGGTTTATTACGATTAACAAAGTGTAGATTGCTTTCCTTTATGTATTCTGTAACTGAACTTACATTAGAAACGTTATCAAGCAATCCGAAATTACGACTAAAATTATACTAGCTGTAATTTTGCAGTCATCCTTATTCTTATACGCAAAAGCAACAAATGTATCAGAAAACACTGATAACGTAACCCTTCACTTTGAAGACTGATCTCTATTTTTCAACATACATGAGATAGATGACAAACCCCTTTTTTCCATTTCCAAGAACAACTTTAATTCCGTTGTACGAGTAGTTACCACGTTTATTCTTGGTACATTCCATAACATTTACAATAGAATATTCAGGTAGAATACCAAATTAGGTATTTTGAGATGTTCTTGTATTAATGTTAAACCTATTTGCAACTTTAAAGTCATTTTTTTTTATTCGTTACTTCCAGCCTTTTAAATGTATAATTGTGGGTACATGTAAAACAGTTACTTGCAAATTTTAAGTGGCATGAAATTTTTATTTCCATATATTTGCAGCATTCAAGCATTACAAGCATTCAGTGAGGTCAAGGCCAGGTTATAGGTAACTATTAATTTGAACTACACTATTGCTATCTCTCCTTTTTTGTGAAGAGAGAGAAAGAGATGGTATAAGTAACACAGATGCTACTAAGCAATGTAGACACAATGTAATAATTATTTTATCATCAACATATAAAATAAATCAGTAAAAGCGGCAAAAAGTTGCAATTTTTCGTATGCTTTATTTCAATACTTATTGCATACAATATTTAAAGACTGTCTTTTATTAAAAATAATGCAGTTACAATTATTTAAAAGAGTCTTAATACCGGTTTCGAGTTTTTAATTACAATTTTTTAATTTGTTACTGGATTACTAAACGAAACTATAAGTAGTAAAGAAATGGATTTGAAGTTTTTAATTTTATTTCTCCCGCTCGTTCTCTGCAATAAAATGGTCAGAACAATATTGCGGTAACTTTTATTTAAAGTAGTAAAAATAACTTACAAATATCAAGTTATAAAGTTAAGTCACAGATAATTAGCGTTATCGGAAGGCCTAATAGTAGGCTAAGATAGACCTAAATATTACAAAATGCTTTATAGGTTCAAAAATAGTTACCACAGATTATACAATACTGAAATGGTACCTTTGTTTGCATAATCCAATGAACAGGTTATTTTGTTTACGTTAACGCTAAACAAATTGATTAATGACTAAACAAAGGCCTAGGGCCTGTCCCACCACTGACTTATAGAGGCTCTGATAGTTTAAAAATGACGTCACTGTCAGATAAGGTAACAAAATCAGATATTTCCATCATGTATTTTACACGTTGAATTGTAATATCCCCTCTTAACTTAACTCAGACGTAGGAAGATTATTGTTGCTAGGTTATAATGTCATTTATAAAGCTATTAACGTACAGGATTCATTTCGTTAATTCGGTCGAACGTTGACAATGAGTGCTTTATAATCGCTAACAGCCTGGGGCCCCGTGCTCTAGTCCCCGACCGCACGCGGATCATTACATAACTACTTTATTCAATGGTTTCACTTATAATTGCTTGTATCGTTTAAAATGGTTAACGATTTTCGAAATCGATTCTATTACGTTCTATTGATACAATTTGAAGTTTGGTTTTTATACCCTTTTAAAGGAAAGAAAAAATAGTTCGTCTTAGGCCTTGTGTAAACCTCCAAGAACACATTATGCTGATATTAAATATATTAGGGAAAAATAACTATAACGCGCGATAATTTTTACAAGCCTTTTTCCTTTTGATATTTATTCTCCCCATTATTGTTACTAAGATGTCTATTAAGAGAATTATATGAAATAAAAAAAATACAGATCATAATAATTAAACTAAAACAAACATAGCAGTCTGTAGACTCGCTATTAATTCTTATTACGAGTTACTCGATCTACAAATTAATTACGAGGCAATTAAAGTTAAGATAATAAAATAAAACATTCAGGAGTAAGACATAAAATTAAAATTAACGCTTCTCCATTACTTACTGAAACATCAAAGTAAAGTATTATTCAAGTAAATTTAAAAAACTTTTGCTTAATGAAGTAGAAAGATACGCCATTTTTTAGGGAAAAAAATCATGAAACATAATCATTTCTGCCGGAAGATTTTTATGCTTTTTCCTTTATCATTAAAAAGAAAGCAATTTCAATTTGACTATTTTTTTAACGCCCATGGTTTTTATTTACTTATTTCCGTTTCATGATCGATTTAATCCTGCTTTTAAAACAAAATATTTCCGAAGTTCCCCTGGGAGATGCGGCGTCGGTCTTAATTGGCTCGATGAAGGGGTTAATGGAAGAGCCTGCATTGGTAATATTTCGCTAATTGGCAATTGCAACTTCCATCTCCGGTCCCCCATGCCAATCCTTTTTGATGACATGCTTACTATGTTTACCTTCATTTTCAACGCCTACGAGGTTATGAATTATAGTGATAACTTGGAGCTGAGATTTTTAATCTTTACAAATAATAAGTACTGTTTGTAGTTTTTTATATGGACATTCAATTAGTTATGTGAATATTAAACTGAGCAGAAAATATCCCAGTTTCGTTTCTAAAAACACTGTTCACTTTACTTATTTTGGACATATTCTAATAATGTCTCCGTACCACAGTAAAACTAGCGTCCATTAGATGATTTGATAATTTCGTTTCCCAGATACGTTTTGTTAGCTTAATAAAAGGTTTTTAATCAGCAAGGATAAAAAATAGCAGTTTCAGGAAAGAAAAAACATAATATGCATCTTCGCACATTATTCCGCTATCCTAAATTGCAATCTCCATTGTTTGTCCCCGGACACAATGGCCGCTGGTTACTGCCTCGCGTCGCCTGAGTGAAATAAGTTGTTATATACAAATTTACTTGACCCACGTCGCCAGTAAACGGACCCTTATCAAAATACATTATATTTTATAGAATAGGCTTTTCATATAGCAAGTATTTGTTTATAACTCACTTATGCTGGGTTTCTGAAGTTTTAAGTTTTCACTTATAACCTAGCGATTCATTAGTGTTATGTTTCATAGGAGTAAAACTCAAGTTAAGTTTGGAAAACCATTTCATGAAGTTATCGAAACAAAAACACTAAAGAATGGTTAAACGAAGCTACGAAACTGGCCATTATACTTATGTTTTACTCTTATTCTACACATAATTTTATATCTTGTAAAAAAACTGTTGTCAGTTATTGTGTTTAAGTAGGGAATTTCAACAATAAAATCTACGACCATGAAAATCTTTTCATTGTGAAATTTTGTCGTGGAAAATGTATTATTTAATAAATAATTTGTCTGATTGACATTTTAAGTAAACAAGTTTTAGGTTATAAGTTCAATATTGGATACCAGTTTTAATATTTAGGTCATTGCGGGATATTTGCGGTTCCCGAAGGATGCCAATCAATCTGGGCCGCACCAGTTTTATGTCAGTCCACACGCTTAAAGGCTCTCAAGCATCAAATTAGGTAAATTGAGCACTGACATCTTTCAATGGAATATATTACAATCTTTGTCTTTCATACAATCAGGAAACGGTTTTTTTTTTTATCAAACTTATTCATTTTAAATATAAATTACTTTCAATGTGACATTAAATTTGTAACGCGTGGTAAAGTACGAAATTTTTGTGTTTAATCCTAAATTTTTACGAAAAAAAAAATCTAATCATGTTTTTGATTACAAATGAGGTATTAGTTAATTAACCAAATAGATTTAAAATAATTCTGAAGTACTGCTGGATAAAGCAAGAATTCGAGGTTGATTGAACATTTATTTCGGTAGTACATGTTTACTTGGTTTGTTTGAAGACTGCCAGCTTTCCATAGAATCGTGACGTAGAATTGTAGATCCACACAATCTACCGGATTGTTTGTCTAATCTCGTAATAAACGAAGTAACAGCACGAGCCGAGGTACCCGAGAGAGCCCTCGAGCTTAGTTACTCTTAAAGGGGTTTAGGGTGGCTCTCAGTACGATATACAACCTCGAGTTGTTTTAGGTATTCATTCATAGAACGCTCAAGTATTAGTTATTTATAACTTATAGCGTGATTGTTACAAAATAAAGAACAATTCGAGTCACTTGAAGTACTAAGTTGTATCTTTTTCTTTAAAAGTTTGCAAAATCGAAATTTGTTTTATTTGGAAATTCATGTTTTTGGTGTAAATTACAGCATACTTTTATTCCTTTTTCCATGCTCAATACATCCAAAATACTTAAAATAACACTTCCACAGTTTAAAGAAACACTTAAGTTAAGTATTGCCTTTGATAAAAGCAACAAAAGATATCACATACAAGTTTTCAAAAACACTACAAAAGGGATACGATTTCACACAAAGTTTTCCCTCACGAACTTCAACCGTAGACACCGACTTAACAAGTTAGGGATCGACATCGCATTCCAAGTGGCTCGGTAGTATAATTAGAACCTTTTGTTATAGGAGGAAGGTTGGAAGTTGAACCGCAACAATTACTACCAAGAGGGTTGGTTGGCGACGGGCAACGTGCGTGGAGTGGTCGGCGTGACTTTTACGTCATCACACGCGCGGCGGCAACACGAGCTACCGCTGCGTACCAACTACAACCTACGTGGGCATAGATCTGATGTAAGTATACCAAGAGAAACATTTTCTTTTAAACCACTTCATCTCTTTATACTTTGTCGGAATACTTAGATCCCAAGCCTAAGACGTTAATCACCAACTTCAATTATTCAGGGTAATAAACATTACGGAATCGTTAGTAGTAATAATCGAATTAGTGTTTACATTCTAGCTCAAACTGGTAAACCTTAAAAACCACGACCACACAGAAGACAGGCGTGAAATGGAAGCAATTCCGTGTTTCGTCTGATGAGTGTGGTGCCGGAGGCCTAATTTAAGTCCCTTTCTCTTTACCACCCTTTTCTTTTAAGGAGAGGTTGGGAAGAGGAAGTGGATTTGACGGTGGAGAATATGCATAGGAAGGGGAAATATCCTCTTTATATGCGTCTCCTCCTCCGTCGTATAAGGGTAGGCAACGCATCTGCAATTGCGGATGTCTATGGGCAGCGGTCGCTTCGCCATTTTGGCGGTTACAAGTGGCCGCTTGCTCGTTTGCCTCCTTATGTTATAAAAAAAAATATTTTCATTATTACTCTACAGTATTTCAATAAAAGTAAGGGTAGATAGGAAAATTATGGTTTCATTATGAATGAGATAGATTAAAAATTCTAGTGTCAACTGTTGTAGCCCATTAGTTTGTTTTAGCCATTATATGAGTTTGTATACCGGAGGTATCTTTGTTTTTAGCATTTGTTTTCTTTAAGGTAATTCTTGTGAAATGGAACGAACCATATCAGAAGTTGGCGTCGTGCGACAGTTCGGGCGTCATCTTCGTATGGATCAAATACGAAGGCCGATGGAGCATCGAGCTCATAAATGACAGGAGCACACCTGTCACACACTTCTCCTGGTCTCATGATGGAAGAATGGCCCTTATTTGTTACCAGGTAAGGTTTTTCCGTTTAATTACATAATACTCATTCTAGATCTTAATCAGATCCCCATTACTAAATAAGGATTCTCAAATTGCAATTAAATCAATACTCCTGTAAAATTCCCTGGTCATGTATAATTTTGAGTAAAACATACAGATCGATTCACAGCCTCTTTCTTTTTGCATTCGTTTAAAATAAACTTTCTAGGAACCCCAAAATTAATTATGAGGTAAAATCACCTCAGAAAAAAATGCCTAAGTTACGTAAATAACGGCCTAAATTTGATAGTATATGTCAAACAAACGTTATAATAATTCAAATGACAGGGAAAACTGAATGTAAAGGAATATTTACCTCAAAGTCCCTTTACCGCTGTCGCCGGGGGTCGGTATTATAATTATGAAATTGTTTAACTTAGCTCCTATAATAATCAAATTGTTCCTTTGTTTTCTCATTGAAACGTGCCCAATAAATGTCCCTTTAGACAGTTATCAAGTCGAATTACTATTCGAGGCTTACCTTTGTGTTATTCCTTAATTGACGTTATCGTTTGCATGAGTTCAACAAACCGATAATAACATTTCAATTGTTATTTTATGTTATAAAGTCATCATAATTTGATTTAAGATATGTTATATTTTACAACTGTCATTACACGAGGTAACCTACAAAAGCTTTCGTCCAAAATGTATAAACATGAATAAGTAATTCCTTGAATATTAGTGACGAAAACTATATACAGCCTGAGCTACGTAATATAAAGGGGCGAAAGGACAAGCCGACGAAAACGTGTCTGCAATTTGCTGAAAGGCTTCCTCCGAGCCCCGCTGACGTTATTTGATATCTTTGAAAACGTACCCATCAAATATGCTAAGGTGAACTTGCTAAGGGCAACGTTATGTAAACTGTTACTTGGAACTTACACTGGTTTTGATTTATTAGTTATACATGGTAGTACAAACTAATAGTGAACAAAAAAATCTTTTGTAAGAACCACTGAATCTTACTAATATTATAAATGAGAAAGTTTAGTTGGATGGATGGATGTTTGTTTGTAAGAGTTTGTAGCCTAAACGGCAAAGTGGATCTCGATAAAATTTGGCATAGATGTAGAGGATACCCTGGAAGAACACATAGGGTACTTACTTTTGTTTTTTTTTATGCCACGCTCACGAAGTCGCGCGTTAAAGCTAGTTTATTATAATACTGTAACCTCACTGTAGTTTTTAATTTAGCAAATTGATTTTCTAAATTTCTTAGGATGGCTTCGTGTTGGTGGGCTCGGTGGCCGGTCAGCGCTACTGGTCTTCGATGCTGTCGCTGGACGCGAGGATCACGTGCGGCTGTTGGACGCCTGACGACGGTCAAGTGTACCTTGGTACTGCCTCCGCGCAGCTCGTCGTTATGGACGTGCACGGCGCTATGGTGTCACAGGTTAGAACCATAGAGAAAATTATGAAAATTTTATGCTAGGGATGTATGGCATCTTGTCGCTTACCTAGGATTACGAGTAAAATCAAAGTCTCCCTTAGGTGCAACTGGTAGCTGAAGGTGGCATAACATCTATGGCGTGGTCATGCGAGAAATTTAAGATGGAGGAGGGTGAAGAGGGTGGTGAAAGTAGCGGTGGCCACGTGCTGGCCGTCGCGCTGGGCAACGGAGAGATAGTGCTTTTACATGGCCATGACGACGTTAGTCCAGTGCGTGTGACCACTGGCCTCAGGGGCAGCACGCTGGCCATGGAGTGGGCAAATTCACGAGAATTGCTCGCAGTTGCGGGGACCTTGAATGCGGGTGAGTTATGTCTGCATAACTGCTGGACAATATTGAGAATTATTTTGGTAACTAAAACGATTTATTTGTAAATTAAAACTGGTGTTTGTTACGCCACCACGCGTTTATGGTATAACAATTACCGTTTACCAAAAGTATTATGGTAACTATAATAAGATATGGTATTAAATGAAAAGTCTTTACCTATTGTTATATAAGTTAATTAAATAGATAATTATGTTCGAAATGCGAAATGTTTTCTTGTAGCTCATTACGGTTTCTGAGAAATTGGATTAGTAATTAAAGTACGCGATCTCGGCATCTCTTTGATTAATCTTGCGTTACTATTTATTTAATGTTTTTAAGATATTAATATATCACAGAACATAATAATTTACCCATCTCTTTGTATCTCACATTTAATGAAAAAAAAATAATTAAAATAACCTTGCGATCTCTTGATATCACTTGTGAATAATATGTATATTTCGTATCGCACCTATGATTTCTTCAACTCCGTCGGGATACCCGGTGAATGAATAATGTATCCGTAGTGAAATATTTATGTTGAAAGGTCCACCCCTGACAGGATTGTGCAAACGAAATAATTTAATAATTTACTTGTTCGTTTTTGGAAACTATTTGAAAATGACAATCATTTTTATATTTAGTTTTACGATCCCTGTGATATTCTAAAAACTTGATCAGTAGCGGTTATCCCACCCCGTTTAAAGTCATATTGGTGAAAAGTAAATACTCTCTTACACATGATAAATGTGGTTAGTCGCAAATAAAACAATGTTTCGACAATAAAGGAAGCTTTTGTGTATTTTTAGAAATCATATTTGACAACCCTATAAATGACAGGAACGGACCGGGCGAAGGTTCTTTCAATCTGCAGGAAAGATTTACGATCACGACTCACGGGCTCGTAAATTCGCCGTTCACGTTTTATGTCTCGGCAGCGAGAGCGTCGCGACTATACAATAGCTCGTATACTTTGTCCGCGTGCACATATTGGACAATAAACGAGACTTCTTTCATAATCTTTATGTAGCTTCGCATCAAAGGCAGTAGGCGAGGCGCTTTAATAAAGACGAAGCAGTTTGTAAGCTTCTTTAAGTCACGTAAACTTAATTACATCAAATCGTTATAAAATATTATTTTATTATCTAACAGCTAAAATATGGGACTATAATGTAAGCGAAGGACCATAGTCTTTGCAAAGACGTTACTGAATTCTCTAAAATTCATTTTACAACATTCCGTATGATTATTTATCTGTAATCAGAGACCAACGAGTCCGCCGAAGCGCCTCCGTTCAACAATGTGGTCAAGTTCTACTCCGACACCGGGGTGCTAATATACACTGTGCCCATACCATATACGCAGGTATTTCTCACTTTACTTACCTAAACCTTGCTGATATCATTTGCTTCATCAGACTAAGAGAACTCTTAACTAAATATCTCACAACTGTTTAGTCTTGCTTTGATTGCTATGACCTTATAGTAGTGTGTGTGCCTCCATAGGTGCACACACTACTCGATTTTTAGTTGTGCAACTAAATAGTTGAAATGGCTTTGGTACGTGTGCACCTGCTCTAATAACTCAGTCGATTCTTGTAAATTTGTTGAGGGTTATTCAATGAAATACTTTGCAAACAGACGGCTTATTGCGATGAAAGGAGTTTCATTTAATTTTGTTGCACGTGTCGATTTCTTTGTGTGCAGGCCCGTGTGAGTGCGCTGACGTGGGGCCACGCGGCGCGTCGTCTGTTCGTGGGCGTGGGCGGCGCGGTGTGCACGGCTCGAGTGTGGCGTGCGGTGGCGCCACTGCAGCTGCTGGCGCGCGTGCGGGCCGCGCAGGCGCTGCGCCACGCGCGCCTCGCCGCCGCGCTGCCCCTCCCGCCGCGTCTGCAGCCCGCGCTCGCCAGCCTCTTCGCACACACCATACGGGTATAGCACTACTCGACTACCTACACTTCAATCACATTCTATAAATGCTCCGTGAATTTCCTATCAAACCTACTTAGAAAGCCCTGATACTGGAGACTCGTTTCTACATTTTTTCCTCTAAACTGTAAACATCACAATACCTACAAATTTCGCAAAGAATGATAATTTTGTTCACCTAATTCATTTCCTATTTTCGCCAGTGCAACGTGCCGGAGACGAGCGAGCTGCGGCGATTCGTGTCGCGTCCGCCGGGCGGGCGGCTGCACTGTACCATGCTGCGGCACGACGACGAGGAGGCGGGCGCTTACACGCTCTACCTGGAGCACCTCGGCGGCCTCGTACCGCTGCTCAAGGGAAGACGCACCAGCAAGATACGACCCGAATTCGTCATATTCGACCCACAGGCCGAAGGTACACACACACACATAAATTCTCTTTCTTATTCTTCAAAATTACGAATTTGTATTGCGCAGTGTGCGCAGATGGCGCTGCGTGCGCAGTGAGCAGCAGTAGCAGCAGCAGCAGCGGCGCGGGGCTGGCCGGCGGCTCCCCCGCGCCCCGCTCGCCGCGCCCCGCGCCCCCCGCCACACCCGCGCACCGCCCCCGCCTCCCGCAGCCGCAACACTCCTCCTGCTCCTCCGACAGCGAGAGAGAAGACGGTCAGTCAGACAGAGGTCTGCTGTCATTATTACAATTTTGTCTCTAGATAACTTCAAATATATTTTCTTATTTTTTGAAAACAATTGTGTTCGAAAACTATAAATAATGTGCCACAATCTTTATATCCTAATGTTCTGTAGGTTGTACAGGATCTCCCAGACTGCAACGACGCAGGCGCGCCCGGGAGCGGCGCAAGGCGAGGAAGTCCGGTGACAAGGACGACCCGCCCGACGAACTCGCTTACATCGACTCCTTGCCGGAGGTAAGCTGCTTTCTTTGTTCTTTTTTAGAAATCGCTTTGTCTTCTCACTTGTTTTAATACTTTCAGGATGTTCGATTAGTTGAAGTCACATCGAATATTTGGGGCACCAAATTTAAAATGCACGGGCTGGCTAAAAATGTTCCTGATAACTTGGGTCAAGTGACTTACAAAACGTCTTTGCTTCATTTGCAACCGAGACAAATGACGCTAATGATAACCGAACTGAGGGACGACCACCCAGTAGATCCCGATCCGAATTTTAATCCGAACATATTTTCCGAAGACGAGGAAGAAGTGTTTCAGTCAAACGACTCGAGTTCACCTTCGCATACAAATAATAACATTAGGCGGAAATTAACCATCAACGACCGAATCAATAATTCAAATAATGTTCTTTCTCAAAATGAAACTTATTCCAGTAATAACAACAATTCGAATCCATCCATAGCGCGAGCGGAATCGTACGACGAATTCCCATACATAGATACGAACGACTCCGTCAACAACGTGTCGGAGAGCGTGTACTCGACGGGCGTGCGGCACGCCGCGCCCGCGCCCGAGCGCAGGGTGAACAGCTCCGCCGGCGTCCCCCACCGGCACGCCATCTCCCCGCTGCGCTGCGAGAGCTCAGTCCCAACCTTGCAGTCCCCGAAGAATGCCGTCGCGCCGACAGACATCATTTTCGAAAGGCCCTCCCCGCAAACGGTGACCTGCGGAGGTCGCGGTGACTTCTGCGGCGGCAGAACCGATTACAGTGTCCGCAGTGATGGCGTAGCCCTAAAAAATAATATACCAAACATCGAACAACAATCTTTCAATTTAAACCTTAGCGTAGAACCCAGTAGGCAGGTTACAATAAAAAAATGCGATAACCACGTTTCGGACAATTGTCTCTCAAAATTACGCAAAAACATTTGTAACCGTGGCGAATCGGCGTCATTCGAGGTTAATACTAGAATACTGAAAACTTTATGTAACAAAAATTTCGAGCACGAGGTGCATCCGGATGCTATGACGCGGCGCTCAGATAATATGAAAAATATACAAAAGGGTGAAGATTTGAAATTCATCGACGAGGAAACTCCCATAGAAACAACGATAAACAATTTGAGCGAGAGACCTCGCGAGATGAGAGTGCAGCGTACTACAACCGTGGTGCCCATCAGCCCCGTGTGCGCCAGCGTGCCCGTCTACGACACGATGACGCGCAGCTGCAGCGTGGGCTACCTAGACCTCGTCGACCCGCAAGTGCTGCGCGCTCACAGCCTCACCGCCCTGCGCGGCGAGCAGCCCCGGCGACTGGTCCTGGTGAATAACAAACGCCACAGGAGAGCGAAGCGACATTTCCGGACCAACGACATCAAGCAAATGGAAAGCAAAACGCCGAGCTTAAAGAAATGTGGAAAATCGAGGAGCCTCGATTCGGGCGAACTCTCTATAACGGTGGAGAAATGCAAGCGACAGTCGCGGTCC